AGAGGAAAGGGGGGGGGGGGGGGGGGGGGGGGGGGGGGGGGGGGGGGAGAAACCGACCGAGGAGAAGAGACGGCAGGTGTAGCGCGGTGTGATGCAGGATAGACTCCACACCTGACCTTGTGAGAAACACTGTGGCCGTGAATAGAGAAAGAAAAAAAGAAGAAAAAAAGGCAGTGACACAGACAGAATGAGCCAGAGGAAGGGAGAGTGAAAAAAAATGAAAACCACTCAAAACCCTAATTTTCTCTGCAGCCCATTTTTGAGCCAGCCGTGGCTTATAAAGCGAACATACGCTTATCGGCCTGTGTCCGCCTGCCTCGCTGCCTGGCTGGCTAACTCCGACGCCTAACGGCATTCGTGTCCTCTGCCTGATCCCCGCTATAGTGGAGAAAAGCACGACGTCAGGGGGACAGGGAGTGCAGGCCATCACCTAAAATATCTAATGGCCTTCAGAGCTCACTGACTCTCCGCCATTTCATCAAGCTAGTGGCTGTGCACTGTCAGGTGGGCTAGAATGAAGCTTTCCCATTCTCCGTGTTCTTGAAGATTGCTTCCCAGCACATTGTGTGTGTGTCTAAAAGAGCACAATACTGAAAATGTGGGTGTGTTTCGTTTGGCCTTTAATGCATTGCTGTCTCAATAAGCATTTTGGGCTTTCATTATTCTCTCAGGTCTGTGTGAACGTCTCCATTTCCATTATTATCTTGTTATTGTTGTGCTCACCGTCTCTCCTCCTGAAGAACAATAGCTTTGATAGAGGCAGTATGTTGTCCTGATGGAATCAGTCTCTGCCTCTTCTCTCTCTTCTTCTTCCTCAAACATAATCTTTTTCTAACAAGGGAATTAGACTGAATCCTATCCCACCTTTCAAACCTGATGACTTTGACACGCTGAGTTTTGGACCCGAGGGTGCCGCTTGTGATGTGATGATAACACAAGTCCCACTTTGGTCTGACTTCACAATACAAAAATAAAGTCTGTTTGGTGGCTTAATGAATGAAAAATAAATGTAAACACAGCTAATCATGAGTACTCCACTTGTATACACAGCTCCAATTCTCTTTGGATACACAGGTAAAAATTATCTTTGAGCTTGACACAAAAAAATAATGTTTAGATCTTGTTTTTACACCACTTATTTATGACATCCTTTGAAACTGCTCAGTTATGCATATGGACATATTTTTCGACATGAAATTTCTCATAATAAATTCATGATGAGTGTCCATGCCATTACATATTCACCACTACGTTCAACGGTAACCAGAAGACACTGTGGGTCAAAGGCATCCTTGAACTTTCACTCAACCAACCTGAGTGTTGGAAAATGGTAAAAGAATGCTCCATCAGAGCAGTTCCATTCTCCATTGTTTTAATGCTCTAGGTTTATTCTCAGAGCGACAGCGTGTGCCGGCCTTGGATACGAGTGGTTTCTAAATGAAAGCACTGCCAAATACCAGCTTTGTGAGGCTCCCGATGTGCAATTTTGTTTTGTTTTTATTTTTCGAGACACTGGCACAGACAAGCCGATTCAATGCCGCGATTATTACTGGGGTTGTAGTTTTGTACAGTGCAGCTTGTAAGTATTGAGACCGTGACACTTTCTGTTGTTTTGTCTCTTTACTCCAGCAAATGGAATTTGCTGGAGTAAAGCAATCACTGAGATTAAAGCGCTAACTTTCAGCTTTAAGGGTGTTTACTTCCATTCTGTTCACCTCCTGTGCGATTCTTGAACAGTGCAGCAGGACAACGGCAAGGCAACAATTCCTGTGTTCTCAACACTCCTCAATTAGAACTGCAGTCAGGAATCTACTCTCATAATAACCGTTTTATTTTAAATCCATTGTGCCGATACACAGAGATGCGAATGTCAAAATATCTAACTAACCTGTATATCCGTTACGTAGAGAAACAGCTTGTGACTTTTGTTCTTCCTCACTAAAT